TATGTGTGTATATATATATATATATATATATATAAAGCTTTTATTTTTAGAGATGTGCAAGTTATGTTTGGATGGTGATGGTTTCTGAAACACTTTAAAAATTCTTTCCCATGATGTCTTTTTCTTAGGGTATGTACATTAAATCAACATATGATGGTCTCCATGTAATTACTGGAACAACAGAAAATGTAAGTATTGTTAATACTGTATATTCAGGCCTGGTAGCCTTTTTGATCTTACTTGTGGTTCATGCTTTCCCTTTGCTATAGACTACATTTTGCTTGCAAAAGTGTGCTAGTTGGCTGTTGAGGACCAATAGCATGTTGGACGGCAGAAGCGCTTTTGCTTGTTTATCTCAGAATTGAAAGAGTTGTTTGTAGCTGAGATCCAGGAGAGTTGGTTTTGATTTGTTCTTGCAAGACACTTAAAACACTTCAGTTGATCAAGATGAGAGGTAGCTATCTTGGAGTTACCTTGCACTGTGAATAGAAGATAAATGTCTTTAATAAGTGTAGACTGATATGCTGGAGTTCATTGTAGTATTAGAAAAATGGCTTTTATATTTTCCATCTATCAAGCTTTATTTTGTAATAAATGAATGCATGGAAATGAGGACACCCCTTCACATTGACAAATAACCATATGTTTCTGCATGAACTTCTGAATAATGCCTGTGGAAAGGAGAACTTACTACTGGTGTACTAATTCTGATGGAAGGTATTAAAACAGCAGGGAAAACATAATAGACTACGTTTATACTCTCTCTGAAATACACCCTCCTTTCCTTATACACCATCTTTAGAGAACTGGCTGTATCTGTTTTGAGGGAGAAAGGCTTTAATCCATAATCGTTGATAAACATAGAACAGACCACTAAACAACGCTGAATTGCTCCATAATGGTTTAGGCAATTCCTTTTGAAGATTCTAATGACTCTTTCTTAAAATGAAGCTGTAAGAATTACTTGTTTTATCCTGCTACGTCATATTCTGGAAAGCACAAACTGCCCATGGTATTTACAGCT